AAACCGAAACATTTCACCGGACATTAGTACTTTAGGCCAGTTCTTACCACCGAATATTACTACTTAAATAACGTCAACAATATCCATCGAATATTATCACTTTAAACCCAAACATACCACCGAATATTAGTATTTTACGCCATCAATTACCACCAAACACTACTACTTTACACTAGTGTTAACCATCAAATATACCAGACCTCACCACCGAACTTCACCACTTTACACCACCACTTACGGCCATTCTATTTCTGAATATCATTGTTTGGCCGCCATAGTTAGCACCATACACCAGCAGTTACTTTAAATGTTAACATTTTGATTCTACACTTTATTGTAGCGTTTTAGCATCAGTATGACTTTCGTACGATTTAACTTGTCGCTTTAACTAGCATAAACAGTACGATTATTTATTCCAACAACGTCATTTTCTCTATGAAACAACTCACGCGGTAAAGCGATCCTTTCATTTCTGCTACCAGGAAGGCCAAGGCTGTAGCCAGCAGGCCATACAGGACAACTACGAAGAAAACAAGGGTTCATTCATAGCTAAATTATCAATAACATGTTGATGATAATATCCTTCAGGGTTTGCCACTTTAATAAATATTTTGACAGATTCTAATTAAAAAAACGTTTGACAGCTACATAATTGATAACATAATAACGATTTCTTTTTCATAAATGTTTTCATTTTTTTCGTTGATAAATATGCTGACACGCTTTTGTTGATATATAACGCGTTTTCGTGTTTAGATATCTAATGTTTTTGTATTGATAAGTATATTGACGCTATCGTCTGGATAAACATTTTCTTGTTCTTTTATTGTTTAATTCTTCGCTATAACTACATGTATATACTTTCACTCGTTTGCCTCCGTGCAGTTTCGTTGAAATTATGTAATGTACGTACATAGCTAAGACGATAATGTACCTGTAACTTTTGAAATGATCGCAGCCTTTGATTCAGATATCTTTTTGAAATGCGGCTTGATGAAATCTTCTAGAGTTATGGCGGACAGACCGGACAAATTAGATGAAACAGTACTGAAATGAAAAACAAATATATTATTATGATTAATTTTGCAAAACAAACATGTGCGTGTACTTGAAACACTGTACTGCATAGCAATGATGTTGGTATCGGTACTTTTATTGATTAAAGTGACAAATGTACAATGTTTTTTCCTAATATTGACAGGCACGGGTCTAGAAAAAACACAAGTAACAAAATGTTAAGTTACCTGGATACCTAAACTATAATAAGTACAGTGAACAAATTTCCGGAAATTTTAAGAACAGACCTGGAAATATATGTCAATATTTGGCAGTCACCATTTTATGGTTTTTCATTTTGACTGATACTACGTTTACAATGCACGTTATGTACAGGCATGGTAAATAATAACCACAACATAGTTTATCTTGTTTAACTGTGAGGAATACATGTGTTTTGTATTGATAATTGACGACGATACCTCAGAGAAGCGGAGAACAGAGAAGCCATAAATAGTCCGGCCATTCCCGGCTCATCCCGGAATATATCCAATACCATATATGGAATCAGCTGAAAAATAAAGCACAAACGCCGATTGATATTGATAGTGGCAGGCCCTTGTTATATTTGCATGGTTACTTTACATAAATCATGCTAAAATGGGGAAAAGACAGGTTATTTCTAATACATTCCTATAGTGCATATTTGACATTTGTACGTATGTATTTATATAACAATATCAGGAACATATAGCGAGTGAAAGCTGTACTTTAAAACATGATCAATTATCGATTAATCACACAGTAATACGACTTTCGTGAACATATCATACAATGGTACATATGTTCTTGATAACTTTGATAAGGAAAAAAGTATTTAAAAGTGAGATAGTAGCATTTTGATTCAAGAATGTTTTTGAAACATACAATTGAAAATTATGTCATTTGTTCTAAGGAAGCATTATAATTTCTTTTTTAAATTATCAAAAAATGATCAGATTAATTTTGTTGAAACCATTTTAATAGCCTCACTTAATTATTGTGTTGATCGTTTTCTTTGAAGGTCGTTAATACGGATACGGACCATTCGTTTTTAGAAAAAGTTGTCATTATCGGTCTTAATATAATTAGAATAGTTAAAATGAAACATCTATTTTCGGAACACAGGATAAAATTAGAACTCAAAATCGTCAAGTTTTAAGTCACTCCAACTTTAACTTCAAATGGTCTTCATCTTCAATCGTTTCGTTGACCTAGGTTTGTATTCATGGAACCGTTCTCATGCTCAAACTTATATTCTGTGCTCAATCCAATTTTTATTCCGTGATAAAATTAATAAATCTTACCCCTTGTCAATGACACTGAAGAACTTTGGATAAACGTAAATACCGTTTTCAATGTTTTGACTT